CCTGCTCAGGGTTCTTGCCAAGTTTGTATCATTGCCATTTTCTGTGGCCAAAGCCAGGCAAATGGGGTTGCTAGCTGGTTGGAGGTAGCAGAGGTCTCAGGCTGGAAACATTAGCATTTTGACCTGCCAGAGATGAGGTACCTTCCTGAGCACCATGAGGGTGGTGGTCAGTGGAGATTCCAAGAGGCCTCATCTCGTTAGTGACAAGGTATTAGAACAGACATTTCCGAGTTGCCTTCTATCTTGACAGGTACTCTTAAGTTCTCACCCTCTCAACTGTCTCCTTCAGGTGATTTTCATGTTTTCTGTAATTGTTGGTTTCCAACAGGTATTTAGCTTCCATACATCTCACCACTGCTTAGGGCCGCTTTTCCAGACACCCTGACCCCAGGAGGACGAACTGGACACTGGGTTCACTGGTGTCTCATTCCCCAGGTGGGGCTTCTGAGAAGAACAGTCTCAGGAGCAGCTGGGTGGATGGTCTGCTGAGCACACCCTATGGGGCGGGCCCACACCAGGCTCTCCCTGCTCCCAAATCACCAAAGAAACCTGGTGAGTACTTTTCCTCTGTGGATGCAGGTACTTCAAGTCTCAGTGCCACATGTGACTTGAGGCCCCAATCTTGGAGGGGACAGCAAGGAATGGGGTGAGCCAGGTGAAATTCAGGATTGGGATGCTGGGAAACCACAGCAAGGAGCTACAGACCCACTGTGCCCATGATAGGAGGGTAGGGGCTAGAGGGCCTACCTAGAGGGAGTCACACTCCTACTGAGGTGATTTAGGAGGGACCCTCCTGTCTGACTTCCACATGTCCTTCTGGAGGCCAGACTCCCACTGCTTGTTTTTAAGGTGATACCTAGCCCAGAGTTCCCTGTTGTGTTTGCCCAGGGAGGCCCCTGAGAGACAGGTTAGTCTACTCGGTCCTCAGGCTCCTTGACCTATCTGGCAGTGCTCTGCCCAACACCACACCAAATAGTGCAACCAAATAGTCTTCAGTAAATGCTATTGGGAAAACTGGACTGTATTTTACACTACACACAAAAACCAAGTCAAAATCCAGCTAGTTTACATAATGTCATACAAGGTGAAAACATCTCAGGAATGGTTTATTATTAGCAAATGGACTAGAAAACATGTTTATCTTTTTTTTAAATACGTGTTTCTCCTAGGTGCAGAAAAAATAAAATACAAATCCATTCACACTGCATAGAAATATGCACCCTTAACTATTGAAATTTATCAGTGAAAACATTACAATAAACCTGAATTTTAGTAATATCAGAAATTTTGGCTTTCCAAGTAGCAAATAAATGTGGCTGTTACTAAATGCTTAAATATTACACTAGACATTTTAGCTGGTGCTATATACAGACAAAGGAAAATCAAAATAATCGGAATACCATTTACAGACCTATAATTTCTCTCAAGTCGTATGATTATTGACCTAGAAAGTTTTCAGTAAATAACTTCAAGAATACCTGGGGTACTCTGCCTGGTGTGTGTCTTAGTGGTTAGAGCCTCGGCACATGTACCAAAGGATCACAGGTTTGATTCCCTGTCAAGGGCACATACCTGGGTTGTACATTTGATCCCCACCCCCTGTCAGTGTGGGGGGTGGCAACCAATTGATGTGTTTCTCTCACATCAATGTTTCCTCCCTCCTTCCCCTCCCTTTCTCCTCACTTCTCTCCCTCCCTTGCACTGTCTCTAAAGATCAATGGAAAAAATATATCTTCTGGTGAGGATTAATAACAATAAAAAGAATATCTGGGGTATTTATGACAATTCATCAAGTTAACCATATTTAAGATTAGTACCCAAATATAAATTACACTTCCACAAATGAAAATCACATGGCAAAAAGGAAATTTAAAACATCTATTATTTGCCTTATAATCCCCCCCCCAAAAAAAAAAATTACTGGTATCCAGGATAAAATTTAAAAAATGTTTCTGTGGTGGAGACTGTGAATTTTCTACTAATGTACCTCCCCTTCCTGGGCCTATGCCTGCCCACTCGTATTCCCATCTTTCCTTCTGGCTTAGTCATGAGATTTATGTTGTGAATGGAATAGGAATAAAATGATTGTTTCTGTACCTGTCCTTGGGTCTTACGGTATTACTTAGGCTGCCATCCTCCAGTCTTAGCTGAGTGTAGTGAGTGTGGAAAATCATTTAGCCAAAACTCAAGCCTCATTCATCATCTGAGAGTTCACACTGGGAAAAAGCTTCACAGTGCACTGACTGTGAGAAGCCCTCAGTTTTATCTCATTTGATATCAGAAAGTTCACGTCAGAAAAACAATATTGCCCAGCCAGAGTGGCTCAGTGGTTGAGCATAAACCTATGATCCTGGAGGTCATGGTTCAATTCTCAGAGCACATGCCCGGGTTGTGGGCTCCATCCCCAGTAAGGGGTCATGTAGGAGGCAGCTGACCAATGACTCATCACTTTTTGTGTTTTTTAAAAATATGTTTTGATTGATTTCAGAGACAGGAAGGACAAGAGAGATAGATAGAAACATCAATGATGAGAGAGTCATTGATTGGCTGCCTCCTCACGCCCCCTACTGGGGATCCAGCCCGGCATGTGCCCTGACCAGGAATGGAACCTGCAATCTCCTGGTGGACGCTCAAAGAACTGAGCCGCACCTTTCCGGTTTGTCATTGTTTGTGTCTCTCCCTCTCCCTCCCTCTCTCTCTGAAATCAATTAAAAATACATTTAAAAAAAGAAAAACAATATTGTTTGGGGAATTTTTGAAAAAATATTTATTTTAGCGAGAGAAGCCTCAATCAGTTGCCTCCCATACACACCCTATCCAGGGACCGAACCCCCAACTCAGGTATGGGCCTTGACTGGAAATCGAACCCAAGAATTTCGGTGTACAGGATGATGCTTCAACCAACTGAGCCACATGGGGCTGCGCACTGGGGATCTAACTTAGCCTTTACATATCAGGACAACTAACCAGTTGAGCTACCTGGCCAAGGTCAGGTTGCCTTCTTTCACTTAATAGTATGCATTTAGATTTCCTTGCATGTGTTCTCATGAGTTAAGAACTGATTTCTTTTCAGTGCTGATAATATTTCACAGTTTATCAGTTCAGTTACTGAAGAACATCTTCGTCCTTCCTAGTTTAGACAGTTATAAGTAAAGTTGCTATAAACGTCCATTTGCAGGTTTTTATGTGGCTATATCTTCAGTTGCTTTGGGTAAATACCAAGGAGCTCAATGCTAGATCGTATAAGAGTATAATTAGTTCTGTAAGTGTCAAACTGTCCTCCAGAGTGGCTGTACCATTACGCATTCCCACCAACAATGAATGAGAGCTTCTGTTGCTCCATATTTTCAAAAGCATTAGGTCTTGTTATCATTCTGGATTTTAGCCATATCTAATAGATATGTGATGATACATAGTTTTATTTTGAAATTCTTAATAACAAGTGATGTTGAGCATCTTTAAATATGTATGTATTCTATGGTGAAGTGTCTGTTCATGGTTGTGTAAAACACACAACACACAAGCAGTTTATTAGCCACATTTAGGTTAACAGCAATTTTTTTTAAAACACAAAATGTGTATGTTCCCAGACAGTTCAAATTCAAACTTACCATAGCATCACTTACTTAAAATCCAAAATATTATTGTCAATAAGTTATTAAATAATGAGTAATTGGGATTAGAGTTTAGGGAACATAAGACTTGAGAAAGTACAGCATAGTGTCCATAAACATACCAACAAGGAAAAAAATATTTCTGGGAGGGAACTCAATAATTGATAACTCCTTTGTTATAGAGGCTGGGGAGTGGGATATGAGAAGGAGGAAGTAGTGCTTATTGTACGTGTAGACCCTTAACTCTACCCCAGAGTTTCCGAACAAAAAGAGTAGGCTTTGAAACACACGTTGGAAAAGTATATCCGCTCCATTCAGTCGTCTTCCCGCCTGGCCCCTTTCCCTCCCGTTTTTCAGCCGGCCTTAGGGTGCTGCCTGGCCCCCTCTCTGGTCATAGTGTGAGCGCTCTCCTTGCGGGCCTGGAGCGGTGGGAACTACATTACCCAGAGGGCCTTGCGCGGAGACTTACTGGATGCGTCAACGGTGACCTGGAAGCATCTTCCTGCCTGTGCGTCCCGCCGAGGCTGGGCTTCCGGCCACTGATCCGGAGGCGGGCATTTTGGCTCCTCACGGGTCCTTTGATCCCGTCACAGGTTCGGGAGCGGTGGCCCATACGACCTGCAGGAGCCTGGAGGGCGCGATAGGCCTGGTCTCCGCCGCACCGACGCGGGCCTGAGTCCCCTCTCCGCCCGCGCGACCCTCGGCAGGGCTGGGACTGGGGCCACGTGCCC